TGCTCCTCTTCCAAGCATTGGCAACTGTCCCTCTCCTTTATAAACTTATGTACTTGGCTAAATCGTCATCCCCCCTTTGGTTATGACTTTGAATACAAACATAAAGAAACCTCTTGACTAGACTGGAATACACACACACGGAGTGCTCTCTTCTCACAAGGCAGTGTTGCCACTTCCCTCAGAATTATGTTCCACTTACTGTGATCCTCTCCAATACACAGCAAATGCAAAAATTCACATAGGGTGCTAGCAGGGCACAAGCAACTATCATTTGATTTCTGTTAAGGTACCTTTACAGATGCCATATTAGGCTGCACTAGCCCATCTGAACACTCATGGGAGGGAGAGACGTCATCTCCTACTGTCTTTCAGGATTATTGCTCCCCAGGCTTTTCTTCTTTCTAATGCATAGGTCTGCAAAAGAATATTTCCCCTCTTTCTCAAATATACTAGCTTCCTCTCCCCCTTTCAATTTTATATTGGTTGTGGGTTTTGTTTCCTAAGCTCACGGTTTCAGACTTTGTAGGTAGAGTTGATCTCTTGTCCTGCTCCCTTGTCCTGCCTGGGATTCACAACGTGGTATAATTCACCTCTTGCTCCTCTTCCATTAATAGGGCAGCTGACACTAGATCTCTCAGTTCAACACACAGTATTTATGTATTTTGAAGTCTTAAGCAAATTATAAGCTTCTCAAATACGGTGATAATAAAAATCCTCGATCTTGTAGGCCTATTATCCCTTTGTATTTGACACTCAGTATAAAACATAAGTAAGGTGATCAACGTGAAGATTAGCACAGACACCAAGGCATGTACATATATGTAATTTACTCTCCCCCTTCCTCTGTCAATGCCAATTTTCAACTGAAGCCTGGCCTGCAAGCCTAAAATTTACATTCCCCCCCATCATAATAGCTTGCAAACCAATTCAGCTCCTTGCTTAATCAACCGCTAAGCCAGCACTCCCTCAACTGTTTAGTCCTACTCATTTTTCAAGAGAACACAAGTTTATGCCTCACTCCCAATGCAATTATCATATTGTGATGCTGCAAACAAAAATAACATACTTGCTTCTCCTCACATACTAAGTATCTCCTGCAGCTTCCAAAGGAGAAAGAAGGGCTCCCTGAAGTATGGGAAACTGTTCTCTGTGCTCATTACCTACCCACTTTTTCCACTGGACAGCAAGTCTGGCACCCTTGGCTTTCAGTATGTTAATCCAACAGCCAAATCAAGTTTAATTTTTTTTCCAGGTGAAGTCAAAGGCTGCAGCATACAAAGGTGTATTGACACAAGAAGATGCAGTTGCTACAAAGGAATTATAAAGACTATACAAAGCAACTATAATTTTGGCTCTTCAACACTTGCTGGTTAGTGAAAAACCCCAGGACTTCTGACCTGGTATTTTATTCAATGTCAGAAGTATGTTTAGCTTGTGTCTCAAAATGCCATGAGACATCAAAAAATTATAATACAAACCCATGTTACCTGCACTGCCACCAACAATCATTAAAAGTTCTGCTTTTTAAATCCCCCCCAGAAGCTTGAGAAGAGATTATGACAGGAACCATGAAACTTTGCATACTACCCCGTCTTCTTCCTCATGTATCTGTCAACTCAGCCCTTGTATAAGGCTGCATTATGTCTCAAGCTTTCCTGAGAGAATACCACAAACAAAAATTCTTCATTCTATTTATGGCATCATCAAGACCTAGGGCACTTCTTGTTTTGTATATTGTATGAAGAATGGAGTAAGTAATTCCTGCACTCCACATCACCATAAAAATGTGACATTTTCCAGAGAGCTTAAAAAGAACCTACTGTGGTTGGGGGGACAGCGTGGTGTTTGGTTGGGTTTTTTAACCGGTATTTTACAAGGTGTGAGATTTCCAACATGTTTTACATAGCTTGTCTTCAGTGGTGTGTACAGGGTGCTTTGAAGGCAGATCACAGTAATCACAACACTTCATGCCAGGCTGATTGAGCCCCAAAATTGCACCACTGTGGGGTTGGGTAACCTAATCCAACACTGCTCGAAGGACATGATGGGGGCAGGTAGCATGGAATAGGATTTGGGAAAGAAACATGTTTAAAAACTCTGACGAAAAACAAGTTCTTAAACATTAGGGAAAACTTCATAGTATTAAATCCTTTACAGTTGGGAAAAGTATTAAACAGCAGGACGAAGCTGATAATTTATCCTGCAAGGTGAAGATGGGGTCTTATCTCTCAGCGTACCCCTCTTCCTACATGCTGCACATCCCCTAGGAAATCTAATGAGCTGCCCAACAAAGAAAAAGATAGGTCAAAAGGTAAGGGATGAACATTACCCTTCAAAAATGCCTACACCTGTGGCAACAAACCAGACTTTAACATCTCTGCAGAATCAAACTGTGCTGAATGTCTTTACTTTCCTACTTCAAGCCTAAGGAGTGTTTCAGCCAGGACTGGAGTTATTTGACACGTGTGCCAGAAGAGTTATGGTGTCCAGCAGAAGTGTTGCTGATGGCGCATGGTGCAGATTACCAACAAGACAGGAGATATCATTACCTTTTAAGCACTGAGGAAGTTTTGTCCCAAAGGCAAGGAAGTGGATGGCAATGCTCCAGAATATAACAGGTAGACAGGTTATCCTCTGTCAAGGATCTGGAGATACTGTGAGTAGAGCCTGAATGGGTACCATCAAAACCTGCTTTGAATCTCCCGTACCTTCACCTTTTCAGCAGACCTTCATCTCCTTGCTTAAAAACTTGCTGCTCTCTTCCATCCCAAACTTCATGCTTTTAATCAGGCAAGAAGGGACAATATTATTTATTTTTTTTAAAACACACTTATATCCCTGGATAAGAGATGTTATCAGCCTAAAAGACTGAACTAAATATTCACAGGATTCCATCCCAAAAATCTAAGTGAAAGGACATACAGACTTTTCCTAAAATTATTTTTTCCTACCATGATTCTCTAGTTCTATGGGTTCTCCTGAAAAAATGACTTACAGATGGTACATATCTCTAATGTGCTCCTCTCCCCAAAACAGTAAGCATCTGGCATGCCTACTGTTTAATTACACAATAGGCTCATGCAGGAGGAAATATTTTCAAGCCTGGAAGCTTATGCTCAAACTCTGATTATACCCAGTAGCAGGAGCTATTCACGGTCAAGAAAAAAGTTTTCAAACAGAAGGAGAAACACTATTAACACACAGCAAGTAGATATTCAGTAAGCTTTTATACGTGTGAAGACAACCACGTTAGAATGTGAAGAGGCCGACACAATGCAAACTTTACAAGCAACTGTATGAAAATTTGGTAAAATTGTTGATCATCACTGATCATAAACACGAAGACTCAAGCCACAAAACAGTGCTAGTTTATTCTGGAAACCAATATAATCTGGCTGCATCTCTGCAATTTTAGGTGTATACCGAGTTAAAGTAGACCTCAACTATTATTCTAGCCTACCATCTTCAGAAATATATATTAAAATCGTTCATCTGTAACTTTTCTATTCTAGCAAAATGCTTCCAGGAAAACTGACACCCCAAATTCTTTAATCACTTAACAGTGCACTCCCTCTGCTGGCACAGCACAGATGTCACACCTTAGCAGAGGCATTCTTCTGATTACACTAATCTCTAGCTAAGAGGTCTACGCATTACAACACTTCTTCACATTTACATCTGCTGTAGCCGTGCTAACGTTAAAAAAAGTCTGCTAAATGACTTCCATAAGAGAAACTTTCAAAGGTGCCCATTAATAACTGACTCCTCTGATGAAAATGTTGCAGGAGCGCAACAAGACACCATGGGCCACAATCCTCAGTCAAGTAAAATCAGAGCGCATCAGGTTAGCAGTCATTTTCAAGGTGAGAAGTTTCTGAAGACTCACTGTTGTAGCATTTCTAACTTTGCAACAAGTAGTTCTAAGATGTCAAACAAAACACACAAAAGGGGGAGTTAGCAGCAGCAAGCTGACATTAACAATCCCATTCAGTCACGCAAGGGTTGCGTTTTCACTGTTTGCCTATGTTTTAACAAGGTGTGAAAAATCTTAGAGAAGCATCGTTTTAAGATGCCCTGGGCCTCCTCACATGGAAACAAAACACCTACAGTTTAGACTCCCTGAGAGCACCGTACTAGATTAATTTAGTACTTAACCTAATCAGAACAGCTGCTACAAAGTCAAATCTTTCAAGCCAGCTTTGAAACACCTAATATTTTGGCTTTGTGGCAAAAGGTTAACCCTCAGCTAATGGATATGCAAGTTTTGTTATGCATAAAAAGAGACAGTTAAGGTTTAGCAGTGAATAATCACAAGGAGTTTCTTCATCGCTCGCTGGTAATACACTGATTGACTCCCTGTGTCATATAAGCAGCTGCTATTCCCTGTGCCCCTTTTAAGCTTTGAAATACTAGGATGAAAATCTGATTTTTGAAAGGACCTCATGTCAATAAACAAGGGAACAGAAATATGTTTTAGCCTGAAGTCAGACTGATTTCTTCCCAATAAAAACTTCAGTTTAAATATCAAAAAGGGAAGGTAACTTTACTTCAAAAGTTAATGCACGCTTCTGCAAACTTGGTTTTCCTTCTTGCTCATATATTTCACAGAAAATATTTAAGTGCCTTCTCACTGCAGTGTAAAAAAAAACTAGGTATGCAGAGTTAAGGGTTGCCTACCCCAAGAAACACACATACAGGGGGAGAAGAATGAACTATTTAAAAGCAGGACTAGGATGACAAGCATGAAGAAGCATTAAGAATTGTTTTGTGCACATACCTTGCTCTTCTAAATAGCTAATAGGTATCTTTGCAACAAATTATATTTCACACAACAATCAGAACAGTCTGATACAACAATCATAACCTCTGTGTTACTCCAAGATGAAAAATGAACCTGTGGTCCAACAGGTGAAAGTAAGTGCTTCAGACAACTGAATTTTAATTGTTTACTGGTTTTGAACTCAGACATCAAGAACAAGCGTTGGTAACGGAGCACTTACCTTACAAACAGACATGATGTTAATGTTGATCATTTTGTCGATTGTCTGCAAGAAAACAAAGTTTTGGGTTTTGTTGTTTCAAGTTATTTGATCAATATTTACACACCCTCTGGGTTTCAAGTGCCAGGATAAATTAAACCTTACGCTTATACATCCACCTTTACTCCTTGCCTTCCTGCTTAAGTATCAGGAGCAGTGAGACTTTCAAAGCCAAGGCTGTGAATTGCTCTTGGTCAAGTTTTATCTCAGATTAGGGACCCATACCAATAAAGAACAACACAGATGTATCACATTGACACTGTATTTCCTAACACTATTTGCAATATTCATGAACTTTAATAAATTCTGGTATTTTAGACATGTTCATAAACTAATGTCTGTACTTTGCTCTTCATTTCATAACAGTGTTTTAGTGACTTAAAGTTTATTCATCAGGTAAAAAAAAGTTGGTTTTTTTTATTAAATATTATGAAGCTTAATTGAAGGTGAACAAAACCACAGATACATTCATCAATACTTAAGCAGAAAGCACAACCCCACAGTGAATATAGCTAGCTACAGGGGTTTTGGAAACAAAATCATGCACCAGTGGAGTTTTCAAAGTACTCAATGCAACCAAGATTATCCCTACGTTACAAAACGTCTAAAACTGTGATATTTAAGTTTCATAATAGTGTTACGGAATGTGCAGCTTCCATTAATGAAGTTGCTCGCTTCCCTTCAGTCACTTAAGAACCTCCCCAGAAGCTAAAGCAGCTCAAGAACAGCCGCCAGATGAGAACATGGACACGAGTGGGATTCAGATATTGACCCCACAGCATCCGTCTGAAATAGAAATATAAAAGTGTAAGTAAAATATAGGAGTGTAAGTAAAAAACACCCCAAAAATTGAGGCTGCCATCATCTGAATTGTGTTATGTTGCTTATGTAAATCTCTTAGCTTTTTGAACCTTTAATTCTCATCAGAAAACCTTGCTATGTGAGTACCCTAACCAAACCTAAAAACTTTTGCCAAATCCATTTAGCATTTAGTGCTAAAAATGAGAACACTAGAAGGTACCACAAAAGCACTTACTTCATCCAGGTCTGGAACATCAAGAAAGTATTCAGGATAACCATATGAAATTCCCACATTGTTGACTGAAACAAAAGCATGAAGTTTTAATTAGATTGCTTGGGTGCCATCTGATTTTTCATGCTCTGATTAATGACAATTTTCAAGCAATGCTCTTAAGATGTTGCATTTAAAACATTCTAACCCCTTTAGCCAAGTTTCCTTAACTGTAAATATACTTGTACACACCCAAGTGGAACGTGAGAGTGAACACGCAAGCCATTTTAAACATGTAAATGTGAATTCTCCAATTGTTTAAAAGCTGGCATATTTAGCACATCATACCCATCTTCCACCGCTTTTCACAGTGCAGGGGAAGAACGTTGCCTCTTTTCGAAACGCCAGCGCACACCGCCCAAGCGTAGGAGCAATATCGCCGCAACACGGAGGCGCGGCCGCGGACAGGGAGTTTCAAGCCAGAGAAAAGTTCTCAGTGCCTGGCAGGACATTCAGTGAAACTGTGTGACATCTTTTTTTTGGATAAATAAAGTGAAATAAGAGTCAGAAAAGCCTCCTGGTAAGTCGCCCCGGTACTTCTCCCCGGCCAGCCGCTCCCTTCCCCCGGTGTCCGCAGGGCTGCGGGTCGGCACCACGACCCTCCTCAGCCCCCGGGGGAGAGCAGCGGGGGCGGGGCGCGGGGGGCGGC